TACTGCCCTGAGAGGTCAGGGTGGCTCCTGGTTGATGGATGGAGCTGTGAGTTTCCCACCTCTCATTCTTCCCCTCTTCCTGCCTCTTTGTTTGGTTTCCAGCTGGACATAGCAGCCATATGGCATTTTTCTGTCTTCTAGCACTGGAGAGTATGGATGCCCCAGCAGACCCCAGACTTCCGGGTGGGCGGGGGGCCTTCCCCGGGGAGAGAGCTATGAAGGTCTTGCCTTTCTTTCTGTGCTCGACATTTTCACCTCTTGTCCCCTGGCTTAAAGGAGCACAAAGAACGAGGAAGACTCGCGCTCCTCAGGTCCAAGGCATTGACGAAGCATTTATTAAATGCCAGGCTCCGGGCCATGAGCTGTGTGCATGCTGTCTCATTAGATGGGCACTAATATCGTCTGCCCTGGTTCACAGCCGGGGTTGGGGGGGGGGGTTGATTTCTGCAAGGATGGGTGGCTGGCACAGAGTCACGTAGTGCATGACTCAGACATATCAGAGCCCAGGTGTCCAACCACCAATTCTGACTCCAGACACTCTTGGCTACAGTCCAACCCTGACATTCACCCTTAATTCTGATAACTGGGCTCACAGGAGCTGCAATGACATGCGTGGGCCCTGACGCCAGACAGATTCAAATTCCAGCCTCCTTCTTTCTGACCCCCTCCAACGTACCCACACAGGTGAGTGTCAAGGGCAGCTCAAGGGCCAAGTCTGACCCGCTGCCTGTTTTTGTAAAGTTTTGTTGGAAAAAGCCATGCTTACTCAATTGTGCATTATCTATGGCTGCTTTCGCCCGAGTTGAGTAATTGAAACAGGCCGTATGGCCCACAAAATCTATAGTATTTACTCCTCGGCTATTTGCAGAAAATATTCGCAGATCCCTGGTGGCGAAAATAGCTTAAAATGCTAATAAAGTTAGTAGGCGCAAATACTGAGAACCAAGGTATGAATAATAGTTCCTGATGAATTATCATGTTGGGGATTTCAGGACACGTTGGCATACACCATTGTGCAGGCCTGGGATGGTGTCTCCTTGTGTCACACCCAAAACTGTCCAAGGTCTCTCACTGGTTCCTGCGCAGAATCATTTGCTTACAAAGTTTAGCTTTCTTGCTCAGAAAGACACTCTCCGTATCTGGAAACACTCTCCTCTCTCAGCTTCCTTTGTAAATTTCCTGCAAGGAGAAACCTTACAGATGCATATGCATTTCTTATTGTCAGAGGGCTGAGACGTACTCTGAGGGGAGTGGTAGAATGAGATGCTTCATTTGTCTTAATGACACCCCTCCTCCCTCCATTGTTCTCAGCCCACTTCCAAATAGCCTCCCCTGCTCCAATTTACAAGATCTGTTTCTTCTTCTGGACTCTGTTTTTATTAAACTTGAAAGGACAGGACATATTATTTTTATTTTTGTAGAGGGAAAGAGCTATTAGGCTTTCAAGAGCTGGAAAAAAAAAAAAAAAAAAAGGAGGGATCTAGGGGGTAAAACAGATCAGCTGTTGACCTGAGTGTGTTCAGTGACTTCATGCAGAGCGAATTTCTTTCCACAGACCACTTATCAACTTACCCTTTTAAAGTCAACTTCCCGTAATCAAATTGGCCATTGGAAAGACAGAGCTGAGTGGTTCTTGTCCCCCAGCATGAGAGCTTCAGGGAATAGGTTTGAGGGGTGGCCAGGTGTGCTGGAGCTGGAGCAAGGAGCGTTTATCCTGCTCTGATTTCACTGCTGTGTATCCTACGGATACTGGAGTAACCTCTCTGAGCCTCAGACTCCTCATGTGAAATGGAGTTAGAAGTCCTGCCTTCTGTATCTCCAGGTGAGAGAGTGGGTGTAGCAACAGGTATGGGGAGGTGCTTTCTGAGTTGTCTAGCATTTCTTGGAGTCAGTGCTTATATTATGCTTTCTTCCGTGCAGTCTCAGGACTATGTGTGTGTCTGCCATAGCCTGGCAGATCAAGCTGAGGTGTTTGTTTTTTTTTGTTTTTTGTTTTGTTTTTTTTTTTTTTTTAGTTTACTTAAATTTAAATTGGGGCACCTGCGTGGCTCAGGTGGTTAAGTGTCAGACTCTTGACCTCATCTCAGGTCATATCTCACGGTTTCTAAGACTGAGCCCCGCATCGGGCTCTGTGCCGACAGTGTGGAGCTTGCTTGGGATTCTCTCTGCCTCTCAGCCCCCACCTCAAAATAAATAACTAAATATTAACAAAATAAATTTAAATTTGAATTTTGAGAATTGAAATGCCATTAACATACAGTGTTATATTAGTTTCAGGTGTATAAGGTGAGGTTTTAAAAGCAGATATATAGTGAGTGATTCTTCCACAGGGGTTGCCTCATGGGAAGTGGGTGGGAAGGACGTGGGCTTTGGAGAACAACGAGCCTTGGTTTGAATCCAGCTGCATCACTCACTGGCTGTGTGATCTGAGGCGAGCCACAGCCTTTCTAAGTCCATTTCCTCATTGGGAGAATGGATAATATTCTGTGTTGGTTTGGGTCATTCAAGAAGCAGATACTAAGATGGCAGATGTGTCCGAGGTCCCTGGGAAACGTATGTGGAAGGAAAAGAGGAGAGGAGGGAGCAGGTGTGGGCAGGGACCGTCTGCAGGCTAACTGCAGGTTGGACCCCTGTGAGAGGAGAGAAGGAGGGAAGGAAGGAGCCTCAGACCATGGTGTGGCTCTCGGAAAGTTTTGCCAGGTTTGTGGGGAATCCCAGAGCAAAGATTGCCTGATGTGGGAAAAAAAGGCAGAAGGAAGCCGTTGTGGGAAAAAAAGGCAGAAGGAAATGGCAGGTAAAATTGAATTTCCTGATAATCTGCAGCCCATTGATGAGTACTTGAGGCAGGCAGAATATGGCATTTCTCTAGGAACTCCCTACTGTCTTGGTGTTGATGCTTTGCTAGCGGGGAAAACAACCTTGGCTTGGTGGTAGTTAGACCTCCCACACCCTGTGAGTCTTCTTTGGCATGTGAAAATTCTTTTCGAAATTCCCCTTTGACTTTACCTTTCCCAACTCCCAAGTATGTGATCAGTCTCTCCTCACCATCCCGGGGCAGCTTTTCCTGCCCATGGGTCCTGTCCCCATGCTTTAATAAAATCACCTTTTTGCACCGAAGACACCCCAAGAATTCTTTCTTGGCTGTCGGCTCTGGACCCCACCATGACTCCACTGCCCGTTACAGGAAGCTGCACAAAAAACAAGTCTACACCCCAGCGCCTTAAAACAACAACGATGTTATTATAGTTCATGATTTTGTGGGTCAGGAATTTGGGCAAACTCAGCTGGCTGATTCATCTCCTCCTTGTATCATCCATTAGGGTCAGTTTGGGCTGCTGTGACAAAACACCATAGACTTCCTGGCTTAAACAACATGTATTTCTCTAGTTCTGGAGGCTGGGAATTCTAAGACCAAGGCACCCTTAGACCCGGTGTCTGGTGAGAGTCCACTTCTGGCTTGTAAACAGCCACCTTCTCACTGCATGCTCACTGGGGAGAGAAAGAAAGATCCTTGGCCTCTGGGCTCTGTCTTTTCCTGGCAGGGCACTAATCCCACCACATGACCTCATCTCAACCTAATCACTTCCCAAGGGCCCTACCTTGTAATACCATTCAGGGTTTCAACATATGAATTTGGGGGGACATGCAATCCATGACAGGGTCACTCAGTGGTATTCAGCAGGAAGCTGGTCTGGCCTGGCGGGTCTGTGATGGCTTTGCTCGGATGCCTGGTGGCTCGGTAGGATGGTGGAGTGGCTGGCAGGCTGGGCTCCACTGGGCCCCTCTGCATGTAGGCTTATAGTCTGCCTGTAGTCCATGTGGTCTCCCCAGGAGGGTAGCTGATATATACACGGAAGTTCAGGGCTCATGAGGGAGTGCTCCAAGAGGGATGCTCCAAGAGAGTGCTCCAGGAGGGAGTGCTCCA